AAATAAAAGGCGAGTCCCCTGGGGTCACTCCCAGCCCCTCCTGTTTGAGAACTTGTAAACGGTCGAGATCCCCACCCTAAACCATATATATTCTTGTATGCAATAAAACAAATCAAATGAAATATAGGGGAAGTCCATTGGGGTCACCCCCACCCCCTTCTTTTTGCTAACTTGTAAACGGTCTAGATCCCCACCCCTAAACCATATATATTCTTGAATGGGACAATAAAACAAATCAAATGAAATATAGGGGAAGTCCATTGGGGTAACCCCCACCCCCTTCTGCTTGAGAAATTGTAAACGGTTGAGATCCCCACCCCTAAACCATATATATTCTTGTATGGGACAATTAAACAAATGAAATGAAATTTGGGGGAAGTCCACTAGGGTAAACCCCACCCCCTTCTTTTTGAAAACTTGTAAACGGTTGAGATCCCCACCCCTAAACCATATATAATCTTTTAAAGGACAATAAAACAAATCAAATGAAATAAAAGGTGAGTCCCCTGGGGTAACCCCCACCCCCTTATTTTTGAAAACTTGTAAACAGTCAAGATCTCCACCCTGAAACCATTTTTCTTCTTGTATATTATAATAAAACAAATCAAATGAAATAAAAGTCGAATCCCCTGGGGTCTTTTTTGTGATTGAGTTATTTTCCTTTGAACAGAAATTGTTAATTATATGCATTAAGTTTGAATACACTAAGCCTTTATAGATAATTTTCACCTGTTTATAAGTCCTGTAATCAGTTTACTAAACATGGTTAATGTCTAATCTTGAGTGACAGATTTATTTGAAAAATTTCTGTTTTCTAAGTGTTGATGATTAAAAGCTATATAGTAGTAAATATTGTTAGAAATTTACTGTTCATTATTAGACATTTTGAAGATAATTACAGATAAGTTTTATAGATTTTTAAAAGACATTGTATTAATGATGAATAAAATTTTTGATTTTTTCTTTACTTTGGTAAATTGTAAATGTTTGTTATTCTGTAAAAACTAATTTTCTGAATGCTATATATATTTTTTGGCTTAGGTGAACTCCTTTTAAAACTTAGCTTAGATTGTCTATTAATAAACATAAATTTAGATTTCTGATTTTGGGCCCAGTTTTCAAGTTGGTCCAAATTAGGGTCCAAAATTAAACTTGTGTTTGTTTCAACATAAATTGAATATATATAGGGTTCTTTGAAATGCTTAATCTAAACCTGTATTTATTTTCATTATTAGTTAGATAATACCACATCGAGGTACTAAGGGTCCTAAATTAAACTTTTGTTTAATCAACAATTGAATTCTTGGGTTCTTTGATATGCTGATTTTAACAATGTTTGAGTGTTAAATCATATCTAATTTAAGAGAACTTAGTCATCAACTCATCACTGGTTGTTGTTATTATACTATTGATTATAATTTGAAAAATTACATCATATCTAATTTTATAGAACTTAGTCATCACTTTATTCATTATAATCATATCTATTTATCAAGTTTGAGTTATTTCCCAGAAAATATATGGATAAAATCAAATTGTGTTTCATTTCAACTTAAATTAAATATATATAGGGTTCTTTCAAATGCTGAATCTAAACCTGTATTTAAATATTAGATTTTTAGGCCCAGTTTTCAAGTTGGTCCAAATCAGGGTCCAAAATTAAACTTTGTTTGATTCACAAAAATTGAATTTATGTGGTTCCTTGAAATGCTGAATCTTACCATGTATTGAGAGATTTTGGATTGTGAGCTCCTTTATCAAATTGGTCCACATTGAGGTCCAAAGGGTCCTAGATTAAACTTTTGTCTGATTTCATCAAAAATTGAATTCTTGGGGTTCTTTGATATGCTGATTCTAATATGTACTTAGATTTTGGATATTGGACCATAATAGGCATTTAAATGTTTTCAAATCAGTTCTTTGACTACATTCATTTTGTGTCACAAACCTATGATTTGTCAAATATTCAATCACAATCCAAATTCAGAGCTGTTTAAAGCTTAAATGAAGTGTCCATACTTGCTCAACTGTTCAGGGTTTGACCTCTGCAGGAAAATCCGGTTTGCTGTCACTCTGACAGCCTCTTGTTTAACTGGTTTGTAGGGAGAGAAAAACAGTTATTGTTTGAAAACTAGAAAACAGTTATTGTCTGAAAACTAGAAAATCGCTTATTTGGGCCCCTTTTTTGGCCCCTAATTCCTTAACTGTTAGGACCATAACCCCCATAACAACAGCATAGTGAATTGCACAGAAGCAAAAAATTGAATATGAATAAAAATCATATAACCAAATCTAAGTTCTTTGACTACACTTATTCTGTGTCAAAAACCTATTATGTGTCAAACATTTAATTTCAATCCAAATTCAGACCTGTATCAAGCAGGAATATTGTGTCCATTTTTGTCCCAACTGTTCAGGGTTGGACCTCTGCGGTCGTATCCAGCTTCTCTCCGCGAAGCAATTTATTAAACTATTATCATGTGTTTTGAAATGAAAATGAAAAATTTATTCGTTGGAATTTTGAAAAAAATGTGGAAAACCCTTTATTTGAGGGGCATAACCAATATTGATTATTACATGTCATTGATTCTGCTGTTAATTGAATACATTATCTCCCTCTTATATCTGTAATTAATATACAAAAAATATCTGAATTACAAGTACACAATAACTTCTTGTTAGAAAACAAAGCAATAATTATTGGTCTACAAAACAATGTTTAGAACTTGTTACTTTTAAAATTTCACTGGAATTGAATAATATTAAACTTTACTTGCTACTTACTAAAATGTTCATCTAAGCAATAAGCCCAAATATTTTACCAGTTGGTTAGTTTGTAGAGATGAATTCAAACTGCAATTGGGAAAAAACAGTTTAGCAAATTTGTATTGTGAAAGAAAACAAAGATCACAAAAAAAGTCAATAGCCGCTAAATTCTAGCAAATACTGGTTGATTGAAATTTGAGTGAACATTAGTATAACAATGTGCACACACTTAAACATCTCGCCTGCTTAACCAACCATGATTGATTTTATGTTGCTTGTCATAAAGTTATCAATAATCCATGAAAATCAAGGTCACATAAACCAAGCAAGACGGACATGTACACCTAACAACCATTCCATACACCAATAATAGTTGACCTATTGCTTATAGTATACAAAAAACAGATCAGATCATGAAAACTGTAGACAGACATATTCACCTTGTTCTCATTCCTTGCATCACAGATAATTGACCTTATTGCTTATATTATCTAAGAATTAAACAACCAGGAAAAGTTGACATTGGGATTGACCAATGAATCATGAAAATGAGGATGAGGTCTGATGAACCCTGCCGGAGCAGTGACATGTTCACCTCACAATCATTCCATACACCACATATAGTTGACCTATTGCTTATTATATACAAATTAACAGACAAAACAATGAAATTAAAAATATGACCAATTAACCATGAAAATGAGGTCAAGGATAGATGGTACATGCCAGATAGACATGTACACCTTTAAATCATTCCATACACCAAATATGTTTGACCTACTACTGACAGTATCTGAGAAACTGACCTAATCACCTAACCTTGATCAATGATCCATGAAATGAGGTCTAGGTCAGGTGAACCCTGTCTGACAGACATGTAGACCTTGAAAGGAACTTGTATACTAAATAAGATGCTTCTACAATATGTTCTATATACATCAATACACAAAGTTATATTGTTTGATTGATGGTGTTTAACAGTGCTCTTGGCTAGATCATGGCAGCCAGTTTTTATTGGTGGAGAATGCGAGAGAGAACATTCATCCTTTGGCTGAAAAACTGACAATCCTGGGTCAATTAAGATTTGTGTTGAAAACACCTTGCCATGAGAAGGGTTCAAACTCCCATCGTCTGTGTTGACGGGCTTGTGATCACTGTATAAGAACTACTTAGACACTCCACCTCTGAGGCCCAAACAACAAGTATGATTTAACTTGATTCAAGGCAATGAAACATGAACAGCTGGTCAGAGATACCTACTTTTTTGTGCAATTCTTTTACTGTAAATTCAGAAATTAATGTGCATTTATTATTGTGAATCCTTTACCTCTGGCAAAAATGTGAAAAAGTTTTATGAAGGCAAATCATTACTGAAAGAATGAATGTGACTATTATTGCTAACCTGATGCTGTCCAATTTTTTGGCATTAATAAAAACTGTAATAAATTCTGAATTTACAGTATACTGAATATACTCCTAGATGCATTCTTATGCCAAGTAATGTGATTATTGTTCTCATACATAAAGACTTAAGTGAAGCATAGAATCTCTGTGAAGGTTAGAATGACTTACTTTTACAGGATTCTGCTATACTCCCCAAGATGCTTCCATACACCTAGTTGCATGTTTGTAGGTCACTTAATATTTAAGCTCTGAACTATGACTTAATTAAAAATTTTAAAATATCAGTAATGAATTAAAAACTTAAGCTATTAAACCGTGAAATACCGGTATTGGTCATGTAACCTTCATCTTATGGCATATAGTCAGTCTCTCCTAGATAAAACTTCATACCTAGTATGTGGATGCAGCCATAAACATGGAAGTGAAGGGTACTGAACTTTGTTGAGAGGAAACTTAATAAAAATCCACTGAACTGTGAAATATGGGTTATGCGACCTTCATGGCAAATGGTACTTCTAGCACAGATGCATCTACACACTAATTATATAGCTGTATATCTTTTAGTTTTTAGAGAACAAGATGCTCACATGAACGGTGTCCCAACAGCTGGCTTCTTAAAACTGATAAATGCAGAGTGTATTTGATCCACTTGTATGCAGTAGATTAGTCAGTTACTTTTTACAGCGCATATTCAAAAGGCTTTAATCTTTCATAATACCAATTGCTAAAATGATTTATCCAATTGCAATTCTTTTGTTTATTGATGTAAGAGAGTATCACAAGACTAAAGGAAATAGGAACTAATGGCCTCATTGAAATAAAAGAAGGAAAAAAATAAAAGATTTTATTTATTACAAAGCGGTAATAATAATAAATTGGACAACAACCGTGACAATTACTAATGAAATATATGAACATGAAATTTGTGCATTGCATACCTATAAAATTACTATTTATCTAATCCCAAAGTACTAAAAACCTAATCATCTACAAAATTATACCATAACTTATTGTTTATATAACTTAACATTAATTTTAACATAACTAATTAACACAAAATATTAAACATCAAGTTGTGTTTTGAAATGCATTTAAAGCATGGATGCATTATTTACTGAAGTTGACTGAAATTCCATATAAAATTTTAGGAACTGTTTGGAATTTTCTTGAAATACACAATTGATGAAAATGTTCTTTCATGTAAAAATTGTATTGGTCGGGTCAAATGCTTAAAAAGCTTGGAATATTTGAAAGCATAACACACTTTGCACCATTCAATAAAAATTACAGATTTCTAAAACATACGTCTAAGACTCAAAGTTGGTTGGTCCTTGCAATTTAAATAATGAATACTTCCAAAGATTTTTTTTAAAATATGATTTCTATACATTCAATCATGCTACCAAATAAATGTAACTACAAATCAATCAACATTTTACTGGAAAAATATGTATTTGGTATCTACCAATTAAAACAATTTGCACATCATCAGTTATTTTATTCAATAATATGACATGATAATGGATTTCTGGATCAGGCTTATGATTGTTGTCCAATAAATTGTGATACTTGATACAGAAGTTTTATAGAAACACTTTTAAAAATTCTAAAATTTAAAGTTATGATGTCACTTTTTAATATAAAAAAAAACCAAACAAAGACTAGTAATAAGCCTTAAAAAATGAAAAAAAAAATCTTTGAACAGTGTCACAACCTATTGGAACAACTCTCATACACATTTATTAATAAACAAAAACTTATAAAAAAGATGAATTATTTTTCACCTTTCTTTTGATTATCTAGCACCACGATTGACACTGAAAATATGGTTAAATTTAATACTTTTTCTTCACTGAGCATAGTGTAATAAAAAAAAACTTTTAAAAACTATAAATAAGCATCAAGAGAGGTATGTTTATAACAAGTTACAATAAAAAACATTGAAAATAATAACAGGATGAATAAAAGACAAAAATAAGACATATATTGAATAATAAGAGACCAGAAACTGATAATGAAAACAAATCTATACAAAGGACTAGGAAGTTTTAAAAACAATGATTCATACACAATCTTCATTTGGATACTAATTGATTGAAATTTACCAGAACATTAGAAGTAAAAGTGTTAAAAAAAACCCATAAAACTACAACACTTTTGATATAAAGACATAAAAGGAGAAATCTGGGAATTATTGAAATCCTGGTTTTATACATTCTGGTTTTCTAACTTTTAGGACAAAGGTTTATATCATATCAAAATCACTTTTTTATACAGACCTAAAATTCATCTTTCATACAAATTAGATTATTTTATACAACTTTCATCAAATTACAATAACATTACCCAATAAACTGCTTCGCTGAGCGCAGCTGGATACGTCTGCAGAGGTCCAACCCTGAACAGTTGGGGCAAAAATGAACACAATATTCCAGCATGATACAGGTCTGAATTTGGATTGTATTAAATATTTGACATATAGGTTTCTGAATAAATGTAATCAAAGAATTTGAAATTGGTTATATGAATTGAATTTATATTCAATTAAAGATTTCTTGCTGTTGTGCAATACACTGTGCTATTGCGCAATACTTAGTAAATCTGTTGTCAGACTATAAACAATTAAAGTTTAGTTAATTCTCAATGTCATATTAGAAATTTATGAAAATGCAAAGGGAGCTTACATCAATAGACATAAACAATTCACCAAAGTTTCATGAGAATTGCTGACAGCATTTTTGAGTTATTGTCCGAAAACTGGAAAATCCCCCCTTTTTTAATGAATAAAACCCAATAACTCAGAAATATAAAATGTAAAATTTATAAAATTCTTAATGGAGCTTACATCAATAGATATAAGCAATTCACCAAAGTTTCATAAGAACTGCTGAAAGCATTTTTGATTTTTTGTCCCAAAACTGGAAAATCCCCCTTTTTATACGCCCGTTTACGGGACGTATTATGGTATACCGTTGTCCGTCCGTCGTCAACATGTTGGATATTAACTCAAAAAAGCTTTAACCAATTTGCATAAAACTTTGGTGAATTGTTTATATCTATTGACGTGAGCTCCCTTTCTTTTTTTATAAATTTTAGATTTTACGTTTCCAAGTTATGGGGTTTTATTCATTAAAAAAAGGGGAATTTTCCAGTTTTCAGGCAATAACTCAAGAATGCTTTCACCAACTTGCAAGAAATTGTGGTGAATTGTTTATATCTATTGACATGAGCTCCCTTTTGATTTTTATAAATTTAAGATTTTACGTTTCTGAGTTACAGGGTTTTATTCATAAAAAAAGGGGGATTTTCCAGTTTTTGGACAAAAACTCAAAAATGCTTTCAGCAGTTCTTATGAAACTTTGGTGAATTGTTTATATCTATTGATGTAAGCTCCCTTTAGAATTTTATAAATTTTACATTTTACATTTCTGAGTTATGGGGTTTTATTCATTAAAAAAGGGGGGATTTTCCAGTTTTCGGACAATAACTCAAAAATGCTGTCAGCAATTCTCATGAAACTTTGGTAAATTGTTTATATCTATTGATGTAAGCTCCCTTTTGATTTTCATAAATTTCTAATATGACATTGAGAATTAATTGAACTTTATTTGTTTATAGTCTGAAAACAGATTTACTAAGTATTGCGCAACAGCACAGTGTATTACACAACAGCAAGAAATAATTCAATTCATATAACCAATTTCAAGTTCTTTGACTAGATTTATTCAGAAACCTATAATATGTCAAATATTTAAATACAATCCAAATTCAGACCTGTATCAAGCTTGAATATTGTGTCCATTTTTGCCCCAACTGTTCAGGGTTGGACCTCTGCGGGCGTATCCAGTTGCGCTCAGCGAAGCAGTTTATTTATGAATAAAACCCTGTAACTCAGAAATGTAAAATCTAAAATATATAAAAATCGTAAGGGAGCTCATGTCAATAGATATAAAACAATTCACCACAATTTCTTGCAAGTTGGTGAAAGCATTCTTGAGTTATTGTCCGAAAACTGTAAAATCCCCCTTTTTTTAATGAATAAAACCCCACAACTCGAAAACGTAAAATCTAAAATTTATAAAAAATGAAAGGGAGCTCACGTCAATAGACATAAACTATTCACCAAAGTTTTATGCAAATTGGTTAAAGTGTTTCTGAGTTAATGTCCAACATGTTGACGACGGACGGACAGACGGACAACGGTATACCATAATACGTCCCGTAAACGGGCGTATAAAAACAGTGAATTTTGCATACTTTGAAACAGTTGCAATAAGAATTTATCAAACTTCATAAAGGCGTATTCTTAACTTTAGAGGTGTCAGGCAAAAGATTCAAAATCAATAAAAGTATAAAACCGAATTCCTAAGTGTGAACATTGCACTATCAGTAGAAGTAATACTCAGTTACAAGATATATTTATAAACACACTATAATGATAACATTTCTGATTCTACAAACCATTGTAAAACCCATGTTTTCTTCTATGTAAAATTTCTCCATTTTTGTAAATTTATATACAAATTTTATTGAGATATTTATAAGATGTATACTACCAGTGCAAAATAATAAGTAAATAATGCAGTGAAGTATATACGTCAATGAAAAGCTGATACAATGTGGTCCCAGGATATAGCTTATGGAACTTCTCAGTTTTACACACCATTTTTAAGTACATCAAATAATGAAAAATTTGCTAACATTTATCTTGGCAGTACACATAATTAGTTTCAACATATTTTCTTGTGGAATCTTGTTTTAAAAATAAAAACAAATATAAAAATCAAAACTTAATTGACTTGTACCAGCAGACCAGCTGATGAAATGTTATCGCCTCCTCCAGCTGTCTGTTTTACCTGAGTACACACCAACACAGGAGCAACACAAATCTGATAATCATCTTCATCCCAACATGACACAGGACGTTTCTCATGTACTGGAATTCTCGTGGAACTAGATGATATACTAGATGAGAATGAATCATCCAACAATAGCTTAGACTTTTGTGTGTGTATGTAGTTTGATCCACAAACATGTCGATGAGCTGTCAAAGAAGCTTTAGCTGTAGCAGACATTGTGTTTTTCCAGGAGGAACCTTTGGTTGTCAATATGGCTTGGTAGGCAAGAGTGTGGACATGAAGACGTGTTAATTTTCTTTTTCCATCAGTTTCCTTTGTATCTTTCAACAGCTTGTATACTTGTCTCATTTGGTCTAAAACAGAAGCCACTCTTGGGTGGGCATCAGACAGGAGAGAAACATTTCCATACTGTAATATATTGACAAGGTTTGGTAACTCTTGCTCATTCATACCCAGTGAATCTGAATACTCAACTACTGTGCTAATTATTTTCTGTAACAGTACAGGATCAGAGAATGAAGCCATTTCAAAATGTGTGTTAATTTTCCTAGGTAAAGTTGCCAATAGTGACCTCAATTTTCCAAGTCTGGATTCCATTTGACCTGAAAAATAACACAATGAATTTATTCATCACATTGGGCTAAACTAGACTTTTAGACTAAGATTTAAAATATTTTATTGCATTATCAAATTTTTCCTGCAAAATGCAAACAAGCTATCATCTCACACTTCTTTAGTTATTGTGACTGTTTTCTATCTGACCTTTTCAATCAGTGTTTATCACTGATGAATGCACAGCTTTAAAAAATAAATGGAGAATGTGTCCCCATGGACACAGATGATGCCATTGCTTGCATACAATGTTATAAAGGGAAATAACTCAAGAATGGTAAAAGTGACACTACCTAAATTTACCCTTGATCTGAGTTTAAGTAAGAGAACGGAAACGAAAAATTTAGCAATTTTTCCAATTTTAAAGGGGCATAACTATAAAACGGTTAAAGTGACTCCACCAAAATTCAAACTTGATCTGTATCTTTTGGTAATAAGCATTTTGTACAAGTTTCATAACATTTGGTTGAGGCAAACTAAGGTTGGAGAAATGAAACAAAAATATTCAGCAGTTTTTATACGCCCGTTTACCGGACGTATTATGGTATACCGTTGTTCGTCTCCCGGTCTGTCTGTCCGTCCTTCTGTCCATCTGTCCATCCGTCGTCAACATGTCTGACATTAACTCAAAAAAGCTTTAACCAATTTGCATAAAACTTTGGTGAATTGTTTATATCTATTGACGTGAGGTCCCTTTCGTTTTTTATAAATTTTAGATTTTACGTTTCCAAGTTATGGGGTTTTATTCATTAAAAAAAGGGGAATTTTCCAGTTTTCGGACAATAACTCAAGAATGCTTTCACCAACTTGCAAGAAATTTTTGTTAATTGTTTATATCTATTGACATGAGCTCCCTTTTGATTTTTATAAATTTTAGATTTTACGTTTCCAAGTTACATGGTGTTTTATTCATAAAATAAAATGCTCCGCTGGGCGCAGCTTGATACGACCGCAGAGGTCGAACCCTGAACAGTTGGGGCAAGTATGGACACAACATTCAAGCTTGATACAGCACTGAATTTGGATTGTGATTAAATATTTGACACAGCATAGGTTTCTGACACAGAATGAATGTGGTCTAAGAACTTCAATTTTTTTAATTTACCTATTCAAACCATATCATTATTATTTGCTTTTATATATAAATCAGAAATAACCAATTTAAAATGGAAAATTTTAAAGAAAAAAAAAGGAAAAAAAAGGAAAAAAAATCCCTCCCCCAAATTTTTTGAACCCCCTTATGATTCATCACCCCCATACTCAATCCCAGCCTGCCCTTTGTGGTATGGTACCTTGCAGTAAAATTTCAGAGAGATCCATACACTTGAACACAATTTATTGTCTGGAAACTAGAAAAATGCTTGTTTTTAGGCCCCTTTTTGGCCCCAAATTCCTAAACGTTTAGGGCAATTACCCCCAAACTCAAACCCAGCTTTCCCTTTGTGATATGGAATCCTGTAGTACAATTTCATAAAGATCCATACACTTACACACAAGTTATTGTCCTGAAACTAGAAAAATGCTAGTTTTTTGCCCCTTTTTGGCCCCTAATTCCTAAAATTTTAAGGCAATTCCCCCCAAAATTGATCCAAGCCTTCCCTTTGTGGTATGGTACCTTGCAGTACAATTTCAGAGAGATCCATACACTTGAACACAAGTTATTGTCTAGAAACTAGAAAAATGCTTATTTTTGGACCCTTTTGGCCCCTTATTCCTAAACGTTTTGGGCAATTACCCCCAGACTCAATTCCAGCTTTCCCTTTGTGATATGGTACCTTGTAGTACAATTTCAGAAAGATCCATACACTTACACACAAGTTATTGTCATGAAACTAGAAACATGCTTGTTTTTTGCCCCTTTTTTGGCCCCTAATTCCTAAAATTTTGAGGCAATTACCCCCAAAATCACTCCCAGCATTCCATTTGTGATATGGAACCTTGTGGTACAATGTCAGAGAGATCCATACACTCACACACAAGTTATGTCTGGAAGTTACAAAAATGCTTATTTTTGGCCCCTTTTTGGCCCCTGATTCCTTAACTGTTGGTACCATAACCCCCAAAGTCAATCACAACCTTCCTTTTGTGGTATTGAACCTTATGGTAAAATTTCATAGAGATCCATTCACTTAAACTAAAGTTAGAGTGCGAAAACTAATTTGTCTTCGGACGACGACGACAGCGACGCCAACGTCATACCAATATACGACCGCAAAATTTTTTTGCGGTCATATAAAAAGGGGGATTTTCCAGTTTTCGGACAATAACTCAAAAATGCTTTCAGCAGTTCTCATGAAACTTTGATGAATTGTTGATATCTATTGATGTAAGCTCCCTTTAGAATTTTATAAATTTTAGATTTTACATTTCTGAGTTGTGGGGTTTTATTCATTAAAAAAGGAGGGATTTTCCAGTTTTCAGACAATGAATCAAAAATGCTTTCAGCAATTCTTTTGAAACTTTGGTGAATTGATTATATCTATTGATGTAAGCTCCCTTTAGAATTTTATAAATTTTATTTGTTTATAGTCTGACAACAGATTTACTAAGTATTGCACAACAGCATAGTGTATTGCACAACAGCAAGAAATCTTTAATTGAATATAAATTCAATTTATATAACCAATTTCAAGTTCTTTGACTACATTTATTCAGAAACCTATAATATGTCAAATATTTAATTACAATCCAAATTCAGACCTGTATCAAGCTTGAATATTGTGTCCATTTTTGCCCCAACTGTTCAGGGTTGGACCTCTGCGGGCGTATCCAGCTGTGCTCAGCGAAGCAGTTTATTCCATTTGTAAAGGGGCATAACTCTAGAACAGTAAAAGTGATTCCACCAAAATTCAAACTTGATCTGTGTCTTTTGGTAATAAGCATTGTGTATAAGTTTAATAACATTTGGTTGAGGAAAACTAAAGTTAGAGAACGGAAACCAATTTTAGGACGTACGGACGGACGAATATACAAACGGACAAGGGTAAAACTTAATGCCCCCTCCGCCACGGCGGGGGCATAAAAACCAACAACATGTGCTCATAGGACACCATGCCCTGCTCCAACCATCAAATTTCCATGTTCAGTGAAACTGTGCAATCTTGGTAAAAACCTAAATTTGGCATATACATATTAAACAGATCACTTAATAAGGAACATGCGTTTTAAGTTTCAAGTTGATGTGACCACAAACTACCTTGAACCATAAATTTAACCTATCACATTTCCATGCTCAGTGAACTGTGAAAGCAAGGTCAAAACCCTTATTTGGCATATATATCAAATAATTCAATTGATAACAAATATGTGTACTAAGTTTCAAGTTGATGTGACCACAAACTACCTAAAACCAAAACTTTAACCTACAATTCTTTTGTACTTTAACCCAAAAAATTAACCTCTCAGGGCAGAAAAAAGGGTGAAATTGTAATTCAAGTTAAATATCCAGTACTGTGGATTCACTTATTTTCGTGGGTACCAATTATTGTGGATATTTGTTTTCATGGTTTTGCTAAAGTCTGTACATAAGCCTTGTGAAAATTTGTTATTCGTTGAACATTTAAATTCCTTGTTCACCTTTTCCCACGAAATCCACAAAAAGTGGTATCCCACGAATAATAAAGAATTCACAGTATATAGCAAATTATTGTAAAATATCTGGGATAGGAAGTTGATACTTGAATCATTGTTTACATAACTACTGCCAGTCTACTGGGTATTTAACAACTGGTTTTAGAATTACTGTACTGTGTCTGGGGCATCATCTGTAGGGTTTGAAAAACTGAAGTATTGAGAGAAAAAAAACCTTCTGTCACACTATTCTAATATGGGAATAACAAATTCAATATCATATGTTGATTGTTCCACTTATATATCAACATTATCCACATGATATTTGTATACTAAAGAATTTGCAGCATGGCTGCACTTTTTTTTTGCGTTATTTTTTTCAAATCATACCATTTTGAAAAGGAAAATTATCCATCATTTGTAATCCACCAACAACAAGTACAGAAGGATCAAACTTTATGATTTCCTTTTCTAAGTCATCTACTGTCTCCAATAAAGGATTACTGTTGTCACTGTGAACTATAAACCTTCAATAAAAAAAATATACAACTCAATTATGAATGATGTGACTGTTGTTAGTGGGGCTCATTTGGGTCTAAGCGTGACGAAGGATTTGCCAATTTTTTGTAAGCGTGACATGTGAAAGTCTATTTATCTTGCGTGAAAATGTAGTCGGGTGGTACACTTGAAAATACAAGCGCTATTATTGCAATGATAAGCGGGATATGGGATTCTGACAAAACAATAAGCGGGATCTGGGATCAGACCCCCTTGTTAATGTTTAAAGTTCTTTTCAGTTAAATGCTTTTCCACATATTTCATTAATTTTTAAGATTTTTAAAAAGATTTTTTTCTGTTCAAAGGTGGCAACGAGGACTTCAACTAATAATTTTGGATATTGAACAATAATGCATTCATTAACAATTAATTTAATGTGTAAATTTACTTCAAATACCATTCATTATATACTTTTTTCTGTATAAATAGGGGTTTTCAAGACAAAAAAAATCCCTCCATTCAAAATGGGGATACCTCATACAAAATTTGAAGAAAAATGGTAAAAGTTCTCAACAAAATGCTGAAGGAATAAAATATTTTCTAATATAAACCGAATTGCAAATTTGTGAACTTTGAAGCAAATATGCAAAAATCTTTTATCTGTAATTTTCTCTACATGACATATTTACACTACAATGTCATTAAATGTAATTAGATATCCTGCTGTTCATTTCGATTCCTGCATTTACAAGCTTGACCATAATAACAGCCTCATAGGTTTATTTCATACATACAGTTGTATTATTTGCTGATTCATGCAAGTTATTTTCAAAAATGTACAAAGACTGCTTTTACCAAATTTAAAACCTTTATGTTATGATCAATTTTTTAAGAAGACTTTGCTACATGTACTTACCTATTAGCTCTAGGAGAGGTAAATTTGCCCCATTTATCTCCTGTTTTGTATTCTAAAATTAAATGTATATCATCCTCTTCTAGAACATCTCCAAGTACTACAAAAAATAAACATTATGTGTAACTTAAGGAAAAAAATGAAAATGAATTCTTAATAAATAATAACCATGTCTTTCAATATTATTCTATTTTGGCAAGGAAATGAAATATAGCTGGAAAAAACAAAAAAACAATTTCATTTGTAAACTTTGTAATTTCAAACAAAGGCAATCATGCATGGCAATGCAAAGCAGATCTCCTTTTTGCCATCGCTATTATATTTATATTCATGTTGCATAACTCAAAAGCTTTTAGCATAATGCTATTAAGTGCCCTATATTATTTAGCTTCATAATAAATAGGTGGCACATCTTCTCATCATGAATGGCCATTGGATCAATTTTGATAAAAGAATGTAAAATGGTACTGTAGATTCATTATAATTCATGTGATACTCATTTTTTTTTTGGATTTCATGGGTAAAGGTGAACCATGAATTTAAATGTTTAACAAAGTACAAATTTTCTTAAGGTTCGTATGCAAAAACTTTTGAAAAATCATGAAATCAAACATCCACTAAATTACAATTTTTACTCAATCCACAAAAATAGGTACCCACGAAATTAAATGAATCCATAGTAATTCCTAGTCTCTAGTGCCTAAAAACTTTGACCATATTAATGCTATCAAATGTAGGTGACCATATGGGCCTCTTCTATAAAATAAGAGTTATGCTTTCTAAAAAATTACCTAGGGCTTGATCATATTTGATAAAGATTGGTCTCAAGTTTGTAGCTTTATGGTGCCTACACCTTAACGGTGTCAATATTTTTTTACTTCTGACCTTAAAATTATATAGGACTCAAAATCAATTAACCTTCTCCCTCCTCCCCCATATTTTAAGGCTTTCATTTAATATACATTGTACATTTTTAACATGTATACATATTTATGCATTTCTATTAAATTTATTGTCTATTTCCTCAACATATGTACCTTTGTATTATTGTATACCTGTAATATCTAGTGTAACATTGTATCTACAGCGGGTTTTTGGAATAAAGTATATATATTATTTGAAGATTGGATTAAAGACTGGACTTTTTTGTTCATTTACTTGCAAGCAAGTAACAGAAGAATGGGCAAACACAATATATACATGTATCAAGTGGTGGATTCAGGACTTTCAATAAGTAAGGGGGCCTGGCAGTCAAAAATCTACTGTTGCATTACTTCAGTAATATAGTTTCTATGCTGACAGATGTTCATTCAGGCCATTCTGACCATATATTGTAATTTACTTTACTTAATACGGGTAGATGTATTTTTGTTATTGAAAATCATTTCAGATTTTTTAATTAATTCTTGCTAGACTGTTAAAATAAAAGTTTTAGTATCCAAATTCAAATATATATCCTGTCTAATTTCCTATAGTTAGATGCAAATTTAAACACTGGCTGTACATTGTACAATAATAAAATAATACTGGCTAAATATTATATTAAATGTTAACATGGTGAATAAAGATATACTACCTACCATGTAAACTAGAATGAAGTGCCTTCCTGGTATCTTTTGATAATTTGGCAGCCAACAGAACTTCTGCACCTTCCTGAGCCAGTCTCTGTGCCATGGCAGGGGCATTTCCACCTATAGCTTCTTTGTAACCAGGTATTGTTTTAGCTGCTCTTGTTAACTGGTTAAATAATGTGTCATTTCCAACATATCGTCTAAAATTAAATCATTGGAAGTTTTTATTAATTTTCCAAAATGCAGTTTATATCATGGATTTTTTTAAATATGATAAAAGATACAATGTATGGGTCAAAGAGCATTTTTTAAATTGTGCAAAAATGTCAGATTTTGTATAAAAAATTAAGGAGATGTGGTATGATTGCCAATGAGACAACTATCCAACAAAGTTCAAATGAAGTGGATGTTAACAATTATAGGCAATCGTATAGCCTTCAACAATGAGAAAAAAACCATAGCCCTGACATGAAAAATATGAAACAATTCAATTGAGAAAACTAATGGCCTAATTTATAACAAAACAATTTACGAAAAACAAATATGACAGACATGAACAAACGACAACCACTGAACTACAGGCTCCTGACTTGGGACAGGCACATATAGATTGTGGTGGAGTTAAACATGTTTGTGAGTGCTCAACCCTCCCCTTACCTGGGACAGTGGTGTAACAGCACAACATAAGAACAAACTATCAATATCACTTGAAAAGGGCTCAACTCATCAGATCGATACAAAGCAGAAAATCATCTAACAAAAACACAGACCGGACCAGGTAGATTATTTTTTTGAAAAAACCAATTATGTGTGATAGAAAAAAACACCAAAAAGACGATAAAGATTTGAGAAGATAGCTCTCATAGTGTGATTTCAGAAAATAAAAAGAAAATTTTGGTCACAGGACTTGTTTTTTAGCTACAAATCAATATAGGTAAATTAACTACACATTCCTTTTAGAAAGCAAGATTATTTGAGTTATCTCCCCTTATATAAATGGTTGAAATAAAATTGAACCAAACACAAATAATTCTGTATTTGTAATTAAAGACAAACTAAGAGATAAAACACATAATTTTCTTCATTCAGACTTGTTAGATGAAAAGTCTAACAAATAAATTACATTCCTCTCTCAAAAGTTGCATATATACATGTACATGCAGTCTCATCAAATATGTAGTCTGATTGTTTTTTGCCAATTTTACAATCCAAAGTGGGGAAGGATATCTGATCTACAAATGTACCTTAAATAAAAATAATTATACATCAACTTTATTGACACTAAACCTGTCTATGTTTTTTGTACTTGACATTTTTGTCGCTAATTAGGCAGACTGGTCAGTCTGCTGTTGAGAAATTAATAATATATTATATAAATAACACATAGCTGAGAGGGTAAAGGGCAGATTGTTATCCTTAGAAAACATTTTGAGGTGAAGCCAAGTTTGACAATGTTTTTTAGGGGTAACAATCTGGTCTATCACCCCCTCAGCTTTGTGTTATTCAATTCATTGAATGTTCTGTTATTATTGTCTTTTAAATTTCAAAAAAATGTACATACATGTCACAGGCTCACAGCCATCCAAATTAAATAAAGGACAAAATTGATCATTAATTATAATAGCAATATGTACCTTTCTTTGTACATTGTACATGTATCAGCCATATCATTCATATGGAAGCAAGACAAGTCGCCCCCCCATAGGAAAAAGGGTTAAATCCCGTTAAATTTACTCCTGCCAACTCGCCCCACTTATGAAAAAGGGTAAAATCTGATTCCCTATGAATATAAGATATATTTTATTACCAATTAAGGGTCCACAAGGGGCATATAGAGAATACATGTATAAGGAAAAAGAACATTGATTAGCGTAGATACATAGAATTTAAATACACAATTACAATATATTGTACAATTAGACTGTAAAAAAGCCCTTGGTTTAAAGAATATAATATATTTATATGAGAAATAAATACATCTAACTCATACTGACTTGAATAAATTTTCCAACAGCATTAAGTACCTGATTGTCTTCACAGCTCAATAAATATATGAATTTTTGCTGATTGTCCAGTAAATTAAAGTTTGGCATTTTGTGGCAAACAAAGTCAAAGAGAGCATCTCTATCAAGAGTTAAATTTATCACATGAAATTAAATAAATTGCTTCACCGAGTGCAGCTGGATATGACCGCAGAGGTCCAACCCTGAACAGTTGGGGCAAAAATGGACACAATATTCGTGCTTGATACAGGTCTGAATTTGGATTGAAATTAAACATTTGACACATAATAGGTTTCTGACACAGAATAACTTAGAATCGGTTATATGATTTGAATTTATATTAAATTTTTTGTGCAATACACTATGCTGTTGCCAATTGCCCCCCCCTCCCACCCCCTCAACAAAAAATTTCACCCCCCTTTTTTTTGGCAAAAACATTTTTTTCACCCCACCCTTTTTTTTTTACAAAAAAAAATAATATTTGAAGAAATTTTCTTTTTAATTTCTGAAATCTGTAATGAAAGGAGAAAAAAAATTGTTCCCCCCCCACCCCCCATTTTTTTCACCTCCCCCCAACCCCTTTTTCCAAAAAAAAAAAAATTTCCCTCAAGATATGGTGATTATCTCAATTCAAATTTCCAATGGAGTTTGCAACCATAACTACCCATTTAAATACATCATAAAAGTCTTAAAATAGAAAATGACATACGTAATCATGTCTAAAAATAATATATCTTTAATCAGCATTTTTATTAGTAACTTCTAAAAATAAATTGAAAGCTAATCACCTCAAGACAATACAAAATTTCTTTATACACATAATTTTAAAGCAGTGTAGGGGAGGTAATCCAAATTTAACATTGTATTTAAAAGTGATTGTCCATTAACAAGGAAACCCTTGTTTTTCCCCCTTTTTTGTCCCTAATTCCTAAACAGTTTGAGCCATTGCCCCAAAAGCCAATTCTAACCATCCCTTTGTGGTATGGAAAATTTCAGAGAGATCCATACACTGTTCTACAAGTTATTGTCTGAAAACTAGAAAGATGCTTATTTGGGGCCCTTTTTTGGCCCCTACATGTAATTCCTAAACTGTTAGGACCATAACCCCCAAAATCAATCCCAATCTTCCTTTTGTGGTTATAAACCTTGTGTTTAAATTTCATAGATTTCTATTAACTAATACTACATGTAAAGTTATTGTCCAGAAACCAAGTGTCTTCGGACAACGACGACGTGATACCAATATACGACATTTTTTGCGGTCGTATAAAAATGGATTTCATCTCCAATACAGCCAGAGGAGCATTTTTTGCAAATTCTTTCATTTCGTGGAATATTTGAAAAACGGCTACATGTATATAATAAAGGTCTGCCAACTCGTGACCCAGTTCTGCAGAAGTTCGTCTGTTATGTCCACAAAACCTAGGTCACCAGCTCTTTCTACCAGATTACTACATGGTGTGTCTTCAACCAACCTACAAGGACAAACAACGATGTAGAAGGCTGGCACAGACGCCTCAACAAAAAGAACAACGACGAAAAGCCAGCCTTCTATGACCTCATCCAGAAACTGCAGGAAGAGTCTCAACAAGTCTACTACCCATCCAGATTAAGTTAGTGTCTGAGGGTAAGCTTACTCTGTACCAGTGCAAGCCCGCCCATGTTACCAGAGTTGGTAGGCCTTAATTCAGTACAGTTAAATTCTTTTTTTTTCATTAGTACACATAGGGCGAGTTGGCAGACATTTATTCAACGGGATTTAACCCTTTTTCATAAGTGGGGCAAGTTGGCAGGACTAAATTCATCGGTATTTTACTATTTTTCTTAAGTGGGGAGAGTTGGCAGACCTATATTCAAAAATTTGTGCGGTTGTATATTGGTATCACGTCATCGTCGTCGTAGAAGACATTTGGTTTCCGGACAATACCTTTAGTGTTAGTATATAGAAATCTATTAAATTAAAACACAAGGTTTATAACCACAAAAGGAAGGTTTGGATTGATTTTGGGGGTTATGGTCCTAACAGTTTAGGAATTAGGGGCCAAAAAGAAGCCCAAATAAGCATCTATTTAGTTTCCAGACAATAACTTGTGTATGGATCTCTCTGAAATTATACTTAAGTTTCTTTACCACAAAGGGATGGTTAGGATTGGCTTTGGGGGGTTATGGCTCAAACTGTTTAGGAATTAGGGGCAAAAAAGGGGGAAAAACAAGGGTTTCCTGGTTAATGTACAATTAAGACAATTTAAAAGTAGTGTAAGGGAGGTAATCTAAACACAAACAATGTTTTAAATTATGTATAAAGGAATGTTGTATTGTCTTGAGGTGATTAGCTGTCAATTTACTTTAAGAAGTTACTATTAAATTTATGATGATTAAGGAATATTGATTTTAGCCATGGTTATGTATATCATTTTCTATTTTAAGACTTTTATGATGTATTTAAATGGGTAATTATGGTTGCAAACTCCTAATGGAAATTTGAATTGAGATTATGACCATATCTTGAGGGAAAGAATTTTTTGTTTGGAAAAAGGGTGGCGCAGGTGAAATAAACTGCTTCGCTGAGCGCAGCTGGATACGCCCGCAGAGGTCCAACCCTGAACAGTTGGGGCAAAAATGGACACAATATTCAAGCTTGATACAGGTCTGAATTTGGATTGTAATTAAATATTTGACATATTATAGGTTTCTGAATAAATGTAGTCAAAGAACTTGAAATTGGTTATATAAATTGAATTTATATTCAATTAAAGATTTCTTGCTGTTGTGCAATACTTAGTAAATCTGTTCTCAGACTATAAACAAATATTATAAAGTTCAATTAATTCTAAATGTCATATTAGAAATTTATGAAAATCAAAAGGGAGCTTACATCAATAGATATAAACAATTCACCAAAGTTTCATGAGAATTGCTGACAGCATTTTTGAGTTATTGTCCGAAAACTGGAAAATCCCCCCTTTTTTAATGAATAAAACCCCATAACTCAGAAATGTAAAATGTAAAATTTATAAAATTCTAAAGGGAGCTTACATCAATAGATATAAACAATTCACCAAAGTTTCATAAGAACTGCTGAAAGCATTTTTGAGTTTTTGTCTGAAAACTGGAAAATCCCCCTTTTTTAATGAATAAAACCCTGTAACTCGGAAACGTAAAATCTAAAATTGTTAAAATCGAAAGGGAGCTCATGTCAATAGATATAAACATTTCACCACACTTTCTTGCAAGTTGGTGAAAGCATTCTTGAGTTATTGTCCAAAAACTGGAAAATCCCCCTTTTTTTAATGAATAAAACCCCATAACTCGGAAATGTAAAATCTAAAATTTATAAAAAAAAACAAAAGGGAGCTCACGTCAATAGATATAAACAATTCACCAAAGTTTTATGCAAATTGGTTAAAGTGTTTTTGAGTTAATGTCCGACATGTTGACGACGGACGGACAGACGGACAACAGTATACCATAATAAGTCCTGTAAACAGGCGTATAAAAGGGGGGGGGGGATTGTGGGAGGGGGTCAATTTTTTCTCATTTCAGATTTTAGAAGTTAAAAAGAAAATTTCTTCATAAAAATTTTTTTTTTGCAAAAAAAGGGGGGATAATTTTTTTTTTTAAACTGTGAGGGGGGGGGGAAATTTTGTTTAAGTTTTTGTTTGAGGGGGGGTTGTTTGGAATAAGGGGGGAGGGGTAAAAAAGAAATTGTTGGAGGGAGAAAATTTTTTCTCATTTCAGATTTCAGAAATTAAAAAAATTTCTTTATATTGTATTTTTTGTGCAAAAAAATGAGGGGGGGGGGGGGAGGTAAAAAAAATTTTTTTTTTTATTTTTTATTTTGGAGGGGGTCAATATGCAACAGCATAGTGTATTGTGTATTGCACAAAATAAAAATAAAGGGGGGGCAGTAATTTTTTTAATTTTTGGGAGGGGGCAATTCGCAACAGCATAGTGTATTGCACAAAAGCAAACAATTGAGTATGAATTCAAATCCTATAACCAATTCTAAGTTCTCAATGGTTTTGTTATAAAGACATGTTGTATTCTTTTGAGGTGATTAGCTGTCAATTTATTTTTTAGAACTTATATTAAATGCTGATGAAGGAATTTATTTTTAGATATTGCTATTAAATTTTGCTGATCAAGGTTTTCTTTTTTTAGTTATGACTATCATGTCATTTTCTATTTAATACTTTAATGATGTATTTAAATTTTATATTTAATACGTTAATGATGTATTTAAATGGGTTTGGTTTATTATTTGTATTAGAGTTACCTCCCTTACAATGGTTTTGTTATAAAGAAATGTTGTAATCTCTTTAGGTGATTAGCTGTAGATTTATTTTTTGAAGTTATATTAAATGTTGACAAAGGAATTTTATTTTTAGATATTACTAATAAATTTTGCTGATCAAGGTTTTCTAATTTTAGCCATGACTATGATGTCATTTTCTATCTTTATACTTTTATGATGTATTTAGATGGGCTTTTATGGTTGCAAAGTCCATTGGAAATTTTGAAAGCAAATTTAAATTTAAAATATGCGCTTCATTTTCCATTGTCTTTTGAATAGCAATTTATATAAGACTGCAAAATTTAGTATGGGTTCATATAGTGCTGTGATGTCGTCATCGTTTGCATCGTCGTCAACTGAAAACACATTTGATTTCCGAACAATAACTTTAGTTTAAGTGAATGGATCTCTATAAAAAATTTTAAGATGGTTCAATACCACAAAAGGAAGATTGGGATTTATTTGGCAGATGATTGTCCCAACCATTTATGAATTAGGAGCCAAAAAGGGACATTTTTCTACTTTCAGGATAATAACTTGAGTATAAGTATTTCAATTGCTCTGAAATTGTACCACAATGTTTAATACCACAAAGTTTGAAAGGGGGGGGGGGGGGGGGGGGTTTCCAATATTTTTTAATCGGTTCATATTTTTTTTCAATATTTTTAAATTTCAAATTTTTGAAAAATTTCAAGAAGAATTCTTCAATACTCTAGTTCAGGGAAAGCTTGTTCGCGACCTAGAATTCTGAGTGGGTTAAGCGTTTAATTAAAATTCATGCGAGAATATGTGAGATTTGGATGAACTGGGGGCAAAGTCATTTGGTACAAATCAATATTTGATGTTAAGGACGCCCGCCTTTTCCCTGTTTACCTGTGAAGTCGTTGAGTGTCATCTGTTTTTTGGTTTATGTTTATGTTTAATAAAGTAAAAAAAATATTGTGAAGAATTTCGAGACCTAGTGTTTGAAAATTACGAGAGAAAATTAGGAAAAGAAATTTGAAGGAAACTTGAAATTTACCTTGCAAATAACCAAAACGAAATGTTTGATAAAGAAGGAACGAGGGCCTACAAGTCCCTGGAAGCTTCCAAGAACTTTGAAGAAGTTTATGTGCAGAAATATCATCTTTGGAGACAGTATATCATTCAAAGGTGACACTATACATAATTTATTCTCTTTGACATGTGTCGGGCGGATATAGATAAACAATTTAACCCATATGATTGTCATGTAAAACGGAGCCTTTTGAAAAGTTGTTGTTGGTCATAACACAAAGTCGATATCATGAATGATATTATGCGAAGTATTCAATAAAATATAACCATGGATTCATAAATGTTATGTTTTCAATATTGTATAAATAGTCGGATCGTTTAACCTTGGAACAGTAAATACGTTCCTTGTTCAACCCATAATAAAAAAGTTCCCATAAAAACAAACAGCTACCGGTCGTCGTATGGAATTAAACTCTTAGCAAAAAAAGCCACACCCACTAATAAGCTATACAATGTCTTGACTCGGACTGTTGCATTTTAAACAAACAAGTGAAAAGTCCAGCGCAATATAGAACAAAACAGTTTCAACATTCATATATCATTATCATGATCTTGACCTGCATGGATATGCATTTTACTTGCAACTGTCCCAATTTCCCGAAATTCCATCATGTTTGACAAAGATTTTGATGTAAAACAAAACTTTAACCACAGACTGAACCTAAATGCCGACGCAGTCGGCGTTAACGCTGACTACGGAATCTAGGATCGCCAAGTCTCGCTTACGCGAAATAAATTTCACAAGCTTGACAAAAAGAAGGATGTATGTCTAAAGATCCAAGTAGGCAGTTATTTCACTCATAAATCTTGAAGATCTACTTGCTTTCGACAAGACGACAATCATTGATTTTTTGTGTGTAGAGGGGGGAGGGGAGGGGGTACTTTTTTCTAAATTAATTGTAATATTACAATTTTTTTTTCACATTTACTCTCATTTTTCTACCTATTAACGTGAATTTTCTGACACAAAAATAAATATACAACAGCACTGTTCATTAAAAGTATGTAATCAAATGCCTAACTATATATATGTGTGAAAATTTACTTTCTGAAGATATAAAAAAATATATAAAGTATCTTTTATTCTGTTTAAGATCTTATAAAATCTCATTGAAATTAATTATATATTCTGCATACTATATTATGTATGCTTCGCGATAAGACAAGATAAATTGCTGAACGACCCAGATCCCCCTTCTTTCAAAATTGTCAATATCTCATGCATTTGAATTAAGCACAACAATACCTTTATGTAAATTTAATACACGCATGCAATCAGGGCTAGTATTTTGAACATATGTTTTAACGGTAACTGTCAGAACATGATTATAATTATTAAGGGTATATTAATTTTGTCCAATTGTCGCCTGGTGAGATTAATAGTTTATGGTAAAACTTTATGATACCATATGGCCTAGGTGTTGATTGACTTTTATTTTTATGACCTAAGAAATGGTAATGAAATAGCACCCGTAACTTATTGAATATATCTGCTAAGTGTACATCACAGCATGAATCTGTCCATTTTTGCGTGAAGGTGACACGCAAAGTCAGGTGACATATCAAACCGTTTCTTTTGTAATTAAGGTTAATTAACATAACAGTCAAAATAGTCTGTTTTAATCTGTCAGTGTAATCAATCACTTCACTTGTGATAAATAATCTGATTACAGTAATAACGATGCCGATCTAAAAATTCAATAAACTGATAATGCCCCCAGTTCATCAAATCTCGTATATAATCAGTCGATAACGCAAAATCACAATCGATCTTGCACATGCGCATTGTTTCCCTGAACTAGAGTATTGCACAGTATTGCGCATTAGATTTGTAAAATCTTTGACCACATTTATTTTGTGTCAGAATCCTATATTATGGCAAAAATTTGATCACAATCCAAATTCAGATAGTATAAAGCTTGAATATTTTGTCCAAATTTGCCCCAACTGTTCAGAGTTCGACCACTGTGGTCGTATCAGGCTGCGCTCAGTGAATCATTTTATTTAGTAAGTGGGGCGAGTTGGTGAAAAAGTGGGGCAATTTAGTGTGGGGCGACTTGTCATAGATTCATACACATGTATGAGCTTGACCTCTTTTTTGTTGAAAGGGAAATGCCAATTATTTTGCTCAATTTACATTCTATTTGTTGATATTTTTTCATAAACCTTAAACAAAAGCAACTCTTATGTGTTTCATTTACATAGGATTAGAATGTCTTAAGCATATCTGTCACCGTATAAGAAAAATGAATTATCTTACTCTGCTGCAGCACCATGCTGAAAAAAATATGCCATCATCTTTGTCAACTCCTGCTGTGTATCAACGGACATAAAGTGTTCCGGGTTTTCTGGTGCCTCAAATTTTAAAGCATCTAAAAGTGCAAGACCATCTACAAACATATCTCGGCAACCACCAAAACCAATTGCAATTTTCGCCTTTGGTTGTGCGATTTTTTTCTCTGCTCGGAGTAACCCTGACAAAATTTGTTGAAGTCTCTCGTTCATATCGTTTTCATAATCGTAGTCTGATGGATAAAAATAAGCAAGCAGGGCGACAAGGACGGGAATAACGAACACATATTTCAAATTTGACATATTCTCAAACAGATTTTTTTTGTGCTAAAGCCAAATAATCATCTACTGGCAAATAAAAGAAAGTTGTCGTTGCAGTCCTTACCGGAAGTTCAGAAAACTTCGTAACGTTTGAGTCAATGACGGACTAGACACACGAAAAAGTAATGAAAGTGAAACTTGAGGAGACGTTTTGTCTACATAAGTAGTAATAATTCACCCTTTAAGAAAATGTAGTGAGGGATACTTGTATATCTCTTTTTTTTTAAACCTTCCAGGTAAATTTGATACTAAAGCTACAATGTTTGAAATAACTGCACTTGCTTAATATAATTTTAGTATGATACATAGACATGCATGGGACTAAATCTTAAGGATCATATAATAATGCATGGATCAATATATAAATTTATTATGTTATACATGTAAAAAGCAGACTCTGGTGTTTCTTGTGAAAGAGGATGAATTTCGTATAAGTTGATATTTGACATAGCAATACTGAATAAGGCCATGAACTAATTCTCACCTCAAAAAAATCGTTAAGAAATCTTACTATACAAATCCTTGGAAATATTTACAAATAAACATACAGTAGTGTCCGGAAATTCCGCCCGTCCGGTAAACCCGCCCACTCCCATTTACTTCTGTAGTTGTCACTTCCGTGAATATTTGGTCTGCCATTTTATTCATAGGAACTGTACTTACTTTTAGGGGCCAGCTGAAGGACGCCTCCGGGTGCGGGAGTTTCTCGCTGCATTGAAGACCCATTGGTGGCCTTCGGCTGTTGTCTGCTCTATGGTCGGGTTGTTGTCTCTTTGACACATTCCCCATTTCCATTCTCAATTTTATTATCATCACTGCATGTCAAATTTTAAAGAATAATCCTTTATTATGAAAATATCTAGTGATATATATTCCTAAAGCTAACAATAATCATATTATTGCTTACAAAACTCATTTCTGACGAAATATTTTTTTGGATTATCTGGAATCCCTTTATAAGTGGTCTATTAATAAATAGATCACCTTTTCTTTTCCTAAATTTGCGATAAACTGGCCCTCCATAAATATTTACTGCAGATGGGTGGATTTACCGGACAAACATATTTCCGATAAAAACATGGATGACCCACTTGTTTTGTTGATGTTAAAATTTATTTCAGATATTTTTTGGGAAATGAAATAAAGAACTCAAAGTTGATTTGTCAGTGAATCGATTTATATTAAATTTGATACAATTTGTATATATTAAAGCAGAAATACATACGATCAAAGCCTTATGTGGGCGGATTTACCGGACTGCATCGTAAGTGAATATATCCTCTTTTCGCCTAAAATCAGTCATTACCCAAAATCGGTCATCTTATCATGCTTATAACATCACCTTTTATTATGTCTTTTGATGTTTGTTGTCATACACCTTATCCAGTTTGACTGTCCCTCTGGTCTCTTTCGTCCCTCTTTTATCGCTATTTAGAAATTTGCGCCGGTTGACCTGAGAATCTGCGTCGCTTGAATTTTTGATGTCATACAACAATCACTTTTCCATTGTGGCGTCAGATATTTTCTGTTGTGAAATCAAAATTTTACGGGAACCTTTGTGATGTCCAGTAATGGCGGACAAATAGCGATAAGGTGTATTGATGTCATTTCTACAAATTTTTGCATTTAGAAATAAAACATCTACTTTCAATTTGCTGGATGACAATTAAAAAACAAGGTTTCAGTCCATAAATGATTATTTTGTAAATTTGAGTGTTACTTGTAATATTTTGTTGGAACCTATTTAACTACCTTCTGATGCCAATTATTAAAAAAACCAAAACACACCACATGGGATACGTAGCTTTTCGCATTAGGCTTGTTTATATTCCTTAAATTAGAGTATTTAGAATTTGAATTTGGGTCCTGTTTTTGAATTAATCCATATTAAGGTCCAAAGGGTCCAAAATTAAACTTTGTTTGATTTCTTTAAAAAAATCAATTATTGGTGTTCTTTCATATGATAAATCTAATATTGTGTATTTAGATTTTTTAATTTTGGGGCCTGTCTTCAAATTGGTAAACATTAAGGTCCAAAGGGTCCAAAATGATTAAACTTCCGTTTGAATTAAAAAAAAATTGAATTCTTGAAATTCTTTGATAAGCTGAATCTAAGCGTGTATTTAGATTTTTGATTTTGGGCACAGTATTCAAGTTGGTCCAAATTGAGGTCAAAAATTAAACTTTGTTTGATTTATTCAAAAATCAAATTATTTGTGTTCTTTGATGTTCCAAATCTAACCTTGTTTTAGATTTTTATATGGTCATTTACGGGACGTATTATAGTATACCGTTGTCCGTCAGTCCGTCCGTCCGTCGTCAACATGTCGGACATTAACTCAAAAATGCTTCAACCAATTTGCATAAAACTTTGGTGAATTGTTTATATCTATTGATGTGAGCTCCCTTTTGTTTTTTATAAATTTTAGATTTTACGTTTCTGAGTTATGGTGTTTTATTCATTAAAAAAGGGGGATTTTCCAGTTTTCTGACAATAACTCAAACATGCATTCACCAATTTGCAAGAAACTTTGGTCAATTGTTTATATCTATTGACATGAGCTCCCTTTTGATTTTTAACCGGATTTTCGAAGGAAATATCGGTTATTGATTTGGGGATGTAAGGCAGGCGGGCGGGCAGACGGGCAGGCGGACGGGCAGCTGCTAAACAGTGTCTCTTCAATAACTTGATAACGCTGTGATGAATATTTTTCAAACTGAAATATGTTGTTTATTGTGACTAAATAAAGTTCAATTTTAATTTTCACAATTTTAGTATTTCCCCTTTTTGAGTTATCACCATTTTTAATATCCAAAAGTGGTATTTTTAAATATTTTCCTCTTGTTATCATATTATGACTAAGTGTATGTAAATGTCTTATCTCACAATAAAAATTGGAGTGACAGATTTATTGGAAAATTTTCTATTTCCTAAGTGGTGATGATTATAAGCTATATTATTAGACATTATTAATTATAATATATGTAATGTTAGAGTACTATGATTAACCATAAGACTGTATATATAAAGTTTGAAATTTACTAGTAGGACTGTATAAATGAAGTTTGAAATTTATTGTTCATTATTAGACATTTTGTAGATAATTAAGTCTCGAAAAACCATACATATTCTTACCCCCACCCCCTTCAATTTAAGAATGTGCATTTATCTTGTAAACGGTCGAGATCCCCACCCCTAAACCATATATATTCTTGTATGGGACAATAAAACAAATCAAATGAAATAAAAGGTGAGTCCCCTGGGGTCACCCCCACCCCCTCTAGTTTGAGAACTTGTGCATGGTTGAGATCCCCACCCCTAAACCATATATATTCTTGTATGGGACAATAAGACAAATCAAATGAAATATAGGGGAAGTCCATGGGGATAACCCCCACCCCCCTTCTTTTTGATAACTTGTAAACAGTCAAGATCCCCACCCTGAAACCATATATGTTCTTGTATGGGACAATAAAACAAATCAAATGAAATATAGATGAAGTCTACGGGGGTAACCTCCGCCTCCCTTCTTTTTGAAAACTTGTAAACGGTCGAGATCCCCACCCCTAAACCATATATATTCTTGTATGGGACAAAAAAAAACAAATCATATGAAATAAAAGGCGAGTCCCCTGGGGATCACACACACTCCCCCTTTTGAGAACTTGTTAACGGTCTAGATCTCCCCCCCCTTAACCATATATATTCCTGTTCGTCATTTCAAGAAGATTTGACAGACATACAGGGTCAGTCCATAGGCGTCACTTATGCATATCACAAACCAATTTGTACTGTCAGACGACCATGGGAATGACAAATTATTGGAGCTTTGTTTTGGAGACTTCATAACAGCATCCTGTTACAATTATTTCTTGTTACTGATCAGTTTTATAGATTTTGAAAAGACATTGTATTCCCTTGTCACCATCTTACGGTGTTTATATATCTCAACTTGTACGATTCGCTCGTGTATGTAACAATGTTTTAGATTTTAACGAGAGAAATTTATGTATTACTGAAAAATTATTACACCAGGGTTTTCGATATCACAAACTAGTCAAAACATTTACTAAATTTTATCATCGGTATAAGGACATCATTCGTAAATATAGCTCAACATGCAGACTTCTTATACGTTCAGGTATTTCACATCCAATTTTTTATGGAAATATTCTTTATAAAGCACAAAAATGTCAGTATTCACCTCTGAAACTAACAAAACCTTTAAATAGACTTATCAAGAAGGGATATAGTTACGATACTGTTGTCAGGTCATTAAAGATTGCATATTTTGGCGTTAATATTGATTCACTTATAGGGTCTTTGCATCGGCACTAAACACATTTATTTAAAAACCAGTTGTTGGCATGACACGGGTTATGTTCTTCTCATATATGTTATGATGGTATGATACTAAACCCCTAACGGGAAGGATTGTGCCTGATATTCATATGATGAAGACATAATCTTTCAATCAGTTTAATTGAAGTCTGGAGCTGGCATGTCAGTTAACTGCTAGTAGTCTGTTGTTATTTATGTATTATTGTCATTTTGTTTATTTTCTTTGGTTACATCTTCTGACATCAGACTCGGACTTCTCTTGAACTGAATTTTAATGTGCGTATTGTTATGCGTTTACTTTTCTACATTGGCTAGAGGTATAGGGGGAGGGTTGAGATCTCATAAACATGTTTAACCCCGCCGCATTTTTGCGTCTGTCCCAAGTCAGGAGCCTCTAGCATTTGTTAGTCTTGTATTATTTTTAATTTTAGTTTCTTGTGTACAATTTGGAGTTTAGTATGGCGTTCATTATCACTGAACTAGTATATATATTTGTTTAGGGGCCAGCTGAAGGACGCCTCCGGGTGCGGGAATTTCTCGCTGCATTGAAGACCTGTTGGTGACCTTCTGCTGTTGTCTGTTCTATGGTCGGGTTGTTGTCTCTTTGACACATTCCCCATTTCCATTCTCAATTTTATTAATGAAAAATAAAATTTTTGATATTTTTCTTCTTTTCTTTGGTAAATTGTTTGAAGAATTTTGTGGCAAGTTTGTTTGTTATTCTGTAAAAATAAATTTTCTGAATGCTTTATAATTTTTTTTGATGAAGTGAACTCCTTTAAAAACTAAGCTTATATTGTCAATTAACATGATTAATAAACATATATTTAGATTTCTGATTTTGGGCCCAGTTTTCAAGTTTGTCCAAATCGGGGTCCAAAATTAAACTGTGTT